AAACTATTTTATATGAAATATATTTCTGCCAACAAAGGAGGCGAAGAAGATATAATCAAACATCAAATATATTACACTAACGCTTGTTATTCAATACAAATACAACACAATCCGCATAATTCGTATTGACATCAATGAAATAACATTGAATTTTCATAATTTTTATATATATTAATAATAATTAACAGAATATTCTTCATTTTGATTAACATTAATTAAGAGTTTTAAATCAAGAATTTTGCGCTATTTATATGAATTAAAGTTTGAAATATAGTTTGCATAAGAAAATTAAATAAAATGTTCATAATTTGATCGACAATTAAACAAATGATTGCTGTGTTTAGCGTTTAAATTAATTCATAAAATAATGTATAGAAATGAATGGAGAATTGCATTGCAATGCATGTCATGTGTAGAGCATTGGAAGTGTCAGTGAATGCAGTGTTGAGTGAGTCGTGCAGTCTATGAGACGTTCACTCAAACACTCAGTCATCACATCATGTCTTCAGCACTGATGGCAACCGTCGGTCAACTCCTGAGGAGTGGACAACGAGACGACGAATACGTGAGTCAATTGTCTCAAGAGTTGAATCAATTGATTCAGAACTGGTTTGGGATCAGACAATGGCTTGTCGTGAGACCACATTTGCCACAATTATCTCAGATTATCTACTATTCGGTGACAACGCTATCAGGACTGCAAACACTGGGCGAAGAATATGTGAATATTGTCCAAATCGATGGCAACAGACTAGTGGTTCCCAAACTGCTCAAGAGGTTTACGGCACTAATGCTCCAGACATACAGTCCATACCTGTTGTCTACTGAAAACAGGCGTTAATCAGCAGTTGACCTTTTGTTTCTGTAATAAAACGGTAGTTAACACTTGTCGCTAGCGGCTTCTGTTGTTAATGACGTTAATGACGGTTACTAACTGCTCACGAAAGTTGACATCCATAGGATTCATTTGATTTACTTTTATTTAACAGGAAATTACTTTTATCTCTCCAAACGAGTGACAGATATCCGATATGTGTCGCTAAACAGATCCATCGGCGCCACCGACGGGTCGACCAACCGATTGAGAAGTGTATACAAAGTGGTCGGTTATCTGACACTCTCTCAGCTTTTAATCTCATTTTTAGTCCGCTTTTATTCGTCGCAAAACTCTTGCGGCGAATCAAGTGATGACACGTTTGAGTCGTCCGACTGTCAAACAAGTGTGAAAACTATTGAACCGGAAGTGACTGCGAGTGACAAGTGTTGCCTCTGTCTGGAGAAGAGACGTCAGACAACGGCCACCACTTGTGGACACCTGTTCTGCTGGAAGTGCATCACTGAATGGCTTCGCCTTAAGACCGAGTGTCCGCTCTGTCGACAACCCCTACAGACAGCCTCTGTCTGGAGAAGAGACGTCAGACAACGGCCACCACTTGTGGACACCTGTTCTGCTGGAAGTGCATCACTGAATGGCTTCGCCTTAAGACCGAGTGTCCGCTCTGTCGACAACCCCTACAGACATATCGATTAGTTTTATTGAATAATTATATCTGAAGATAACTCGAGTTATCTTTAAATGATTTAATGTGTGATTGAATTGACATATTTTTCTACTTTCTATATCTTCTATACCGGTATTAAAAGTTTTGATAGAGTTTTACAAAACAATTATAAATATAAAATAGAAATATTGTAAAATTGATTGTTATTTAGAGGCAATAAAAGTGCAATTAATTGATCCATATATTGATATATTGTATTTGAAATGTAATTTGTATTTAACTTTATAACGAAATCAATGCTCTGGTGATAATATGGACGTAATTGGTGTGAGTGTTGTGTCTGATGGGTGTCTTCGGGGGCGGAGTTGTTGCACAAGAATGATGTCTGCCTTAGAGTTGCCATAGATTTGCTGTTTTGGTTGTTTGGGTCAGTGTTTGCAGTCTTTCACTCAAAAGGCTATCGATGTTTGCAATCATTTGTTGATTACATTTAACCACAAATCTATACAATTATCTCCTCTGAAGATATGATTTCCAGTGATATCTGAGTTGAATATGTGGTGAAGAGATAGTCGTAAATGTGATAACATATGAGTTGTTGAAGAAGTGGACGACAAGGACGACGACAACTATAATACGATTGGTTAGAAGTGTTGAAGTGATCGCCAAAGAGTGTTGTGAATGAATAAATTACCGAAACTGATGCTCAAGAGTGGCACCGGATGTCGGGATCAGAGCCAACAACACGGCCCACAACAGCATCCGATGCTCTCTCCGCACAACAACCCTAATGTCAACCATCCTCTGAGTCCTAATGGCAGCTATGGATCCGTCAAAGGCATAGCTCAGCCCTACTCTCCGCCGCCGTCTCCCACACACACGTCGGTCACCGCCAGTCACGACACACCCCTCCTGTCGGGTCCCGAACAGACCTCTGACCCCAATTGGCAGGCATTCAAGACGACTGTCCGCGAGAGGAACGCCGCCCTCTTTAACAACGACCTCATGAGTGACATCTCCTTCGTCGTGGGCCAGAAGGGCTCCAACAGTGGTCAGCAGCGGATCCCGGCCCACAAGTACGTGTTGGCCACCGGAAGCTCTGTTTTCTACGCCATGTTCTTCGGAGGACTGGCCGAAGAGCGGACAGAGATCGAGATCCCAGACGTGGAGCCGTCGGCTTTCCTCACGCTTTTAAAGTATGGATTTGTCTCTCATTTTTCGGTTATCTTTTGTTTGCATATATTTTATACGATTTGATGTTTTGAAAGACTTTTTCTGATTATTGCACAAGAATTTGACCCAAATTTGCAAATTAAAGGAAAAAATCTTTTCTTTAATTCTTAGACTTTAAAACGCTTTACTCTTTTAGCGAACATTTATTTGCAATTATTTGCATAATTTTTAATTGAAAATTGTATTGACTTTATATCAATACTTGTGAAAAAGCAGTTGAAATGTATGTAAAAGTTTGTTATTAAAAAGTAAATGAAGAAAAATTGAGGAAAATTGTCTTAACCTTTAATTGGGTTTAACTTATGATTTACTCTACAAAACATTACAATCATTGTATTGTGCACTCAATGCACGCTATATTACAGTAAAGTATTGTTCAATACATTAGTTATACAGCAGTTATTTTGACCCAAAAATTGTCGCTAAATTTATTAGTTTTTGATTCACATTTTGATTTGTTTTTTGTTTTTTCCCATAATTGATGAGAAAATATAAAAATTTTAAGTTTTAGTTTTCTTAACATTTCTTCGATCTATCATTTGGACTGAATTTATTATTTAATGCTTTTTTGAAGCGAATTAATGCCAAACAAAATATGTTTTCCGAAATTTACATATTCCTTGATTTCGCAATTTTAAGTGCTTTGCAAAAGTCATATGAAATATGGTTTTTGTTTGTTATTTCAAAACTTTATTTTGAAACTAACGTAATCTCCAACACATTGACAGATATATGTATTGCGACGATATAAGTCTGGAGGCGGACAATGTGTTGGCCTCGCTATACGCGGCCAAGAAATATTTGGTGCCCCACTTGGCCCGCGCCTGTGTCTCATATTTGGAGACCAGTCTTACGGCCAGAAATGCGTGCATTCTTTTGAGTCAAAGTCTACTGTTTGAAGAGCCAGACCTCATGCAGAGGTGTTGGGAAGTGATCGACGCTCAGGCAGAGCTCGCACTCGCATCCGATGGCTTCGTTGAGATCGACTTCCAGACACTCGAATCCATTCTCTCGAGAGAGACACTCAACGCCAAAGAGGTCTTCATATTTACTCATTTTCTCACACTTTTTCAAAAGTCTCATCAAATAACACAAACACTCCCTTTGCGTATGCATTACAATGAGAATCAAGTTTTCGCAAATCATCCCTCACTCCCTAATAAGTAC